CTGCTCCCTTATGGAAAGTTAGTGGCTTTTTTTTTTTTTTTTTTTTTGGTATTTTAGGAAAGGTCTATTGGGTTTTCACTACTAGATGGACTCACAGTGATCTGCCTGTTTACTGCCTCCCAAGAGCTGCCTGTCACCATACCCAGTCTCAATTACCGTCAGCGAAGTTAGTGGCTTTGAAGGATGAAACTTAGTGTCTTTAGAAAACATATGGTCTAGTCTGCAAAATTCCCAAGCACACAAATCACAAAGGAGTTACTGAACAAGCTGGGTTCCAATTATAGGCAGCCCTTCCCATCCATGTATATGGATGGCCGACTTATGGGCCTTGAGCACTGTGGACTGTGGCTCTGTCTGGTGGACATACAACCAATCCTTTGCAGACACTGAGGGACTATATTCACAACCAAGAGATAATGTGAAATGATTTAACTGAAAAAGATTAGAACATACTCAAAGGCCCATTCCCTGGAGATTCTTTACAGGTAGGATATGAATTATTCCTTCGAGAAAAGCAGCCAGGGACCTATTTCTAACCAATGCAACCCTGATTATCCACAGCACCAGGAAGTAGTTCTGGGACCAGGCAGAATGCTTAATTCATATTTTAAAAAAGTTCTGCCTTCTTTGGGTCCCAGCTCTCGGCTTTCAAAGAACTGGTCCCTCGCTGGAAAAGGAATAACCAGGAGCTGTGTGGGCACATTAAACTAAGAACTACGTGCTCTAAACTCCTCCAATCTCTGGCACTATTTTTATCTCATTCGCTAACCAAACTGGGTTGGGGATGGGCAAGAAGACTTCTGACTTCACATGGAGGATTGAAGCCAAAGAGAAGAAAGGATACAACATTCCCTAGGGTAGAAGAGTTTCAGCCCCCAACTAGGACATTATTGACCAATGCTTCATATCCTAGGCCTCTAAAGGACCTTTCCTAATCACAGCCAACTATGTAATTCCAGACTCTTTGTTATCCTTAAATTCATTTTTTTTTTTTTTTTTTAAACCTCAGTTGAGATGATAAACTCTGAGGGCAAAAACTTGGGTCTTCCTCATCCCTCCCTCGTCCTTATTTTTCTATCAGAATCAACACACAGTGCACATACATGGTCAGAAAGCTACTTCTGTGTTCCTGGTAACAGGGAGACCGGTGATGGAAAATTACCAAGCTAGAACAAGCACAGGTCTGTCCGTCAACACCAGGTTTTGATAACTTCTGTGTGCAGAGATATGTGGGAAGAGCCGGAGGAAGAAGCCTGTAAAGTTTTGCCCTTAGATACACCCTAGTCTAAAGGGAAAAAGAAAAAACACCAAAGAACAGCTCACACACACACACACACACACACACAGGGGAACAAACTGTGTGACAACGCTTACTGGAAAATTCAAATGTAAAGGACAAAGGGCAAAGAAAGGAGTGGGGGGGCAGGGGTTGAGACACACTGGAAAACTTCAACACTACGAAGGAAATCATGAAAAAGAAAAGAGACCTTCCCTGTCTCTATGTCTTAGATACAGCTGAAAGTTCATTTTTGTCATAAAAAAGAAAATAAATGCTTCTCGCTTACGTGCTGTCCTGCCACATCATCTCGTTGACTGATCAAAACAGGATGCTGTACTACACTGTGGTAGAAATTAAATCTGAGGCACAATGACCCCTGGAGGTACCAGGATAAGGAATAAACAAGTTTCCATCCAACTCTTGGGGGTACTTTCCCCTCCATCCAAACTGGTGGAAGAATCAAAGGCAGTCACCACCTTATAGAGACATTCTACAGCATAAACCTAGAACTCCAGTGCTAGAACACAGGACTCAAATCTTTTCAAAATGAAAGTGCCACATCTAAAAAAAACAAAGAAAAAGAAAAGAAAAATAAATTGGGTAATCCAAATCGCTAGGCAATCCTAAAAAAACTGTTTTTGGTGGTATTGTGGGATTAAATTTAGAGGCACTTTATCTGCCTCAACCTCCGAGTGTACACTCAGCTCAGTCATTTTTTGGTTTGTTTGAGAGGTCTGGCTATGTAGCACAGGCTGGCCTTGAACTCACCCAAAAGTGATGCTCCTGCCTTAGCCTCCCCAGTGCTGGGATTACATGCATGCACCCCCACACCTGGCTCAGTCATTTTTGTTTTGGGAGTACATTGATTTTACAAGTATCATTTATATTCTTAATTGCATCAATGAAGTTGATAGAAACATAAAACTATTCAGTTTGTCCTATAGAATTATAGAGCGAAGCATGATGGCAAGCTAAAATGAGAATAGAGCCTCACAGAGTTATTTGGTCATCTCTTGATTCACAAAGTTCATTTCTGCGTATATATGCCATCATCTTTTATCTGACCTCATTTTTTTAAAGTAAACTATGAGTTTCACTTATCTGCCTGCCTACTCTCTAATATTTGATAAAAGATGTGACAAAGTTAGAGGCAGCATAATGACCAATGAAGAGCCATGGCTTGTTAAAGTATTCGTGCTGTCCCAGTATAACCACTAAGCTGAACGGAGGAGGCTTTTCAATCAGTCCACCTATCATGCCTCAGTTTCGAGTCAGATACACCTAAAGAAGTATCCTTGGGGCAGCAGCGGAAAGGGATACACAATCAACTCTGGGGTGGAAATGGGGACAAGAACAAGAGGGAAGGAAGGCACAATTATGAAGTCCTCTAAAGTCCTCATTCAGGTCCATGGCATTGCCTTACTCCATCCTCTTCTCAGCACCTAAGTGTTCTCGCCCTTTGTATGTAGACTATCTGGCGCTGAACAGGGCAGTTCCTTTTATCCCAGGTTTACCTCATTCCTAAGGCTGATGCTACCAAACTGACCATTACTCACTTTTATATAAGGATTTTTTTTTGCTCCTCGAATGCCTTCAGGGCACTTTTGGCTGGCTGGAGGATTGTGGGGATAGAACTAGAATAAGCTGAGGCTGACAGCTTTGTGGAAGCAGCCACTTAAAGAACTGAGCTAGAGCCAGGCCCCCCATTACTCACTTTTAAATCTTTACTTAGTCTAAATGCCTAGTTTAAAAAACTGGCCAGCTGGCTGTTGTCTACACAAAGTCAAGAAAATCATCTATTAAAAAGTTAAAAAAAAAAAAAGAGTCCAAGGTTTCCTGCAGGCTCCTATCAGACCGGATACCTACACAAATACATTATCTCTTAACTTAATATACGACCTAAGTCCGGAACACGATGGATAGTAAAAACAGCTGGAATGTATATGATTAAAGGAACAGAAGTAAATTCGGTAAACCTGTGCTGTATCCCTCCGTCCCCCCCACCCCCCATTTTCATACTAGTGGCTGCTGTTACTATGACAACCAGTCCAGGAAGTTGGCCCACACTTCTTCCTCCAGGATCAGGAAGCTAGAGCCGGGTCCGCGCTGCCTTCCAAAAGGCGTGGAGACCTCTTCCCCCCGCCCCCATCCAGTATCCCTCCTCGGCCCAATTCTGAACTCCCTTTCCCACCCCCCACACCTACCTCCTCTAACTCATCCTTGGCATCCAAACTGGTGGAAAGTAGCAGCCTCCCCCCTCCTGGGGCTCCTGCTCCCGCTCCTCCTCCTGAACCTCCCGCTGCTCCCGAAGCAGCAGCAGCAGCAGCAGCAGCAGCAGCTGCTGCAGCCCCTTTTCCTTTCGGTAACTCCATGGCTGCAGCCAGGAGATGGGAGAGAGTCGGGGACTGGATAAGTGGAAAGTTCTCGAAGTGGGGAACTCAGGGACTGGGTTGCCAGGGACGAGGAACAGGAGGAACCAGCGGGCAGGGAGGGCGCGGTTTGGACCGGCCTCAGGCGCTGCCCTTGGTGCAGCAGCTCTAGGAAAAGCCGCTAGCTAGCTCAGAAGGGCGCTGGGGGGCGGTCTGCGCCCCAAGATCGGGGAGGAGTGGCGTCCGCCCAAGTTGAAGGGAAGCCCTTTCTGCCTTCAGACCCTCGAGGAGAGAAAACGCTAAGTTTCTGCCCCTAGAAGTGGGGGGAAAAGAGGAGTCCTGTCCCTGGAGGAGGACGTAGGAAACCTTCCTGGCTGGTTCCCCCCCAAGGACTGGGGAACGAGGCTCCTATAGATCCCGGCCCTAGGGGTTGGGGGTGAAGCAGTAGCGCTATAGGAGGACACGGAGGACCAGCTTCTCCCTACACCACACAGAGGCAGCCATGGTGGAAGGGCGGGGGTTGAGAACGGCGAGGCGACGGAGCGGGGAGGGCAGGACCGTCGCTGCCCGCGCCGGAAATGAGCCGACGCGACGCGGCCTCCGCCAATAGCAGGCTCCGCGGTGGCGCGGGGTCTCCAAGGGGCTGGCAGACGACACCAGGCCGACTTCAGCCCAGCTGCCAATGGTATTGCGGAGAAGCGAGTGTAGTCTGATGGGCAGCCGGTGTGCCCAATCGTATTCCTCCTCTCCCCTCGGGGGCGGGGCGGTCTATACCAGAGGTAGGGTGCGAAAGCGGAGTTATCAGGAAGAGTACAGTCTGCGCTTGCGCCTGCGCATGCGCGAGGTCTCCGTATTCGGTTCTTTGCATCCATTCCCACCTGTACTTGGTGGCTGAGGCCGTGAGGATGAGTTACTGTCCCTGGGTGGGCTTGTGAGACACGAAGCCCACCTATGTGCTGGCAATGCGGGAGAGGAAGCAGAGCCATAACCCCTAAGCAGCCATTCGTAGAGCAGACGCCATCGGGTAGTATGGAGCCGGCCCCCTGAATTTAGCATCACACAGGAGCTTCTGAAAGTGTGATTGTCAGGCTGGAGAAAAAAAAAAAAATACATGGCCCCCCTTGAATAAACCGAATAATTACGGACGTCCCTTCGCTAGCGCAGCTTGTTGATAACAGAACCATCTCGATCTTTTAAGGCTGAGACATCCATTTCACGGGCATCATGGTTGTCTTTCCCATTATTCAGTATGGAGGGTTCTAATCTGTGGTAAATTCATTGTGGCCTCATTATGTGTGAATCTCAAATCTTGGTTCCCCAACGGTGTGTCTCAGTAGAATTTTTCAGTTTTTTAGGAACACCTTACACAGATCTAAAGAGCAAATTTTGGACCACACTCCCTCAGAGCCAAGTTCATAGTAGGCAAGCGCTAGACCACTGCCCTCCATCCATCCCCAGTGTGAATTTCACTGTTGGGCTGACAATTGAACCCAGGGCCTCATACTTGTTAGGCAGGTACGCCACCACTGTGCCAGACCTTCAGCCCTTCCTTGTTTATTTTTGTTTTATGCACATGTCTCACATGTTTGATCTTTTTTTTTTTTTAATATCCTGGGACTCAAACTCAGGACCTTGAGCTTGCCAAGCAGGCCTCTGAGTTTGATTCCTGAGCCACATGTTTGATACTTGATCCACATCAAATCATGTTTGTTTTATTTTCTGTAAAATAGAGACAAGGGCATCCTGTCAGTCTGGAGAGGATTATATGAACTAAGGTGTGTGACATCACTTTTTAAAAATAAATTGAAGGGGGGCTGGTGAGATGGCTCAGTGGTCTAAAGTACCTATTTAAAACAAGTTTAGCAAAGCACAGGGACCGC